TCATCCAGCAGGTATATTTCCCAGCATCTTCTCTTCTGACATTTCCAATATATATAGACTTGTTGAAAGTCAAATTGTCTGTTGTTGCTCTTACTTCTGATTTCCCAACAGCAGTCGTTGCTTCAAAAGTCTCCATGTCTCTAAAAAAAGAGAGGTAAATGATTGTGAGAATCATCTTTGACGAATGTAAAAAATCTTTACATGATCACAGGTAGATTCTGCCTCAGCAGAACAAAAATATGAAAGCAGGACAAACCTTTCTTCACTATGATGTCAGTGGACTTTTGCCATGTTTCTTGGCAAGTTTCACACCAGTACACACCTTCATCATCCTCAGTAAAAGAGCTGATAACCAAGGAATGATTGGATCCAATTTTCAATTTGGGATTGGACATTTGACGGTATTGCACTCCACTCTTATCTTGGAAGAATAACTGAACCTGCTTACTGCTATGGTCCTTCTTGTAAAACCATTTGAAAGAGTCTGATCGATGGATGTAATGCTGACACGGTATCACAGCTCGACATCCCAGCGAAAAATTAAGTTATGTTGCGACTGGCAAAATATTACGTTGCTCATTTATATTAACAGTCACTTGAAAAAAAATATAAAACATTCAAAAGTCAGTTCATCAGTTGTATTTTAAATACATTGTATTTAATTAAGCAATTTAAATAATGAATTTAGTTAAGTAATGATTTGATCAGATACTCACTGTTTCCTGAGAAAGTAGAGAAGTTCCAAACAAGTAAAAACATGAAAATGAAGCCTTTCTGTTTCATATGGGAGAAATTCCTGTCCCCACAGAAATAAAACCCAACATGAAGCATCCTGGCTGTACCATTACTGCTCATAAAAAACACAGATCACAAACTCTGCCTCTCAGCCAAAGGTTTTAGATTGAGCTTAACAGCTTAAATGAGCCTGACACATCGGAAGTGGTCGAACAGCCAGCACAGAGGAAATTTAGCAAGGTTGTCACCCACACTGTTTTTCTGATGTGGTCTGGCATATGATTTACTTCTTACATTTAGTAATTTGGACAGTTTATCGTACGGTTAAACTCACTGGAGTTTGGACTTCATGTGCAAACAAAGCACTTGTAACCAACTTATTGACTGCCAAGGACAACAACTGACACAATTACACTTTGGGAATTAAGTATAATACGTACTCAGGATTATTGATTCAGATTACAAAAAATTACATACATACAATGTAACAATGTAAATTAGAGGCGTTGTCAAGGGTTTCCTTGCTTGTTAGGTTTTTTAATCATAAAGTCAATTAAATGGATTTGATTGTGTTCATAATTCTTAAAATAACCTCAAAGTATTTAGTAACTATATGAAGGAACAAGTATGTGACAGGCAAACAGAATAGCCAAAAAGAAAACCTACATTTTTGCGTGTGATGTTCACTTTACATAAGAAGAAATTCTCTCGGTTAACAAACAAAGTAATTTTTGATAGAATTTGTAAATATTTTTTTAACCGCACTTCTTCATAATCTACTTTTTAATTCGATACTCTTCCCATATTAGCATCTTCATCATCCCAGTTCTCATTTTCCGCCGTAATGATGTTGCTGTTGCACTCCTGCGCTCAAAACGCCGACATTTCCGTCAGGACATCAAGTCAGCGTTTTATTGATTGTCAGATTCCCCGCCTACCGGAGACACTACTGAAAACCTCGCTTTACCTCCAGCACTTTTCAGAAAGGTGAGCTCAGATCACCTTTTGCGCTTTGTTGGGGAGGTTTTCCCGCAGGCGGAGGCGGAAGACACTTACACCTGCGAGATGAAACTAACTAAAACTTTCGCGGAGTTTCAGCTGGGCTGGCCTCACATGCATTACGTCTTTGCTGTTCTCTGTCTTTTTGTCGTCGTGTATAAATTAACAATTCTACTTGCGAAAAGAAGGGAAGCACTGCGAAACTTCCAAGCTTTTTCGGGGCCGCCGCCACACTGGCTGTTTGGACATGTTCTCGAGGTAACTGTCTCAACACACTCGCAGCAGCTGTAACATGTGTAACCGTCCAGTAAAACGGACCACACCATGTTGGAGAACACCATTCTGCAAACAGAGACACACAGTTGACAAACAACACAATTTACACGAGTAAAGTCTGCCTGCTTTGATGTGTTTCAGTTGTACTTTTTCTCTTTCAGTTTAAACAAGATGGGACCGATATGGACAAGGTAGTGAAATGGGGACAGGAGTACTCATATGTTTTTCCAATCTGGTTTGGCCCCTTTCTCAGTATCATCAATATTCAGCATCCAGATTATGCAAAAACTATCCTGACATCATCAGGTGTGAGAAATGTTTTACTAGTTGTTGTGTTGATGCACATTTATAACTGTGTAGTAAAGTTAAAGGTCCCTAACACCGTTTTTATTTGTTATGTTTCCTAACAGAGCCAAAAGATGATTTTGTCTACCGGTTTATTGAGGGTTGGATTGGTAAGGCTCATTTGTCTCCCTTCTACAGCATTTTGTTAAAATGCAGATTTGTTTGTTTTGCTGCTTTCCTCACTCGTGCACATGTTCTTCAGGAAATGGGTTGTTGGTGTCAGAAGGTCAGAAGTGGTTCCGCCACAGAAGGCTCTTAACACCAGGTTTCCATTATGATGTTTTGAAACCATACGTAAAATTGATGTCAGAGTCTGCTGAGACTATGTTGGTACGTTAAAGACAATTTAGTTGCATAATTGATAAATAAAAAGTCAAAGTCATGATGTGTTGGTCAGCACGTGTCAGTAAATATCATAGAAGTAAAGCAGGAGCAGTGTCTGTATCCTGCAGAGAGATCACATCTGTTCTCTCATTGTTGGCAGGATAAGTGGGAAAGTTATGCAAGCACAAATGAGCCTTTTGAATTGTTTAAACACGTGAGCCTCATGACACTGGACAGCATTATGAAGTGTGCCTTCAGCTGCTACAGCAACTGTCAGACAGAGGGGTGAGCCCAGATGAATCTTTTTAAAGAGTCATTTACAGTGTCAGTTTTATGTTGAGTCGTTTGTTGTTGTAAATCTGCATTTAATGTTTGCCTCCTTTGTCATTTCAGTGGAACAAATGCATACATCAAAGCAGTTTATGACCTCAGTTTTCTAATTGACCTTCGGCTCAGAATGTTTCCGTACCACAGTGACCTCATTTTCCACCTTAGCCCACATGGTTTCAGATACAGAAAAGCACGTCAGGTGACCCTAAGTCATACAGGTAAGCTTTGCTTTGATTCATCTGAACCGTTGCCAAAAATCAGTGAGCCTCACATTATAGTGTCAGATCTACAAATGCTTACATTTTATATTCTTTTCTAAAGAGGAAGTTATAAGAAAGAGGCAAGAAGCACTAAAGGAAGAGAAGGAGCTTGGACAAATACAGGCAAAGAGATATTTGGACTTCCTGGACATCCTTCTCTTTGCAAGAGTATGTTATGTGTCATCAGTTTCAGCCTCTTACTTCAACACATTTCACTTTGTAGGATTTGCTTAATGTATAGGCAAGTCACAAACTGGGGTTTTCCTGCATAAAGGTCATACAGAAAATAAGGCAAGTGCCAACTTGAGATCATGTAAGATATCTGAAGTACTGGCCTAAAGCTGAAATAGCATATGCATGCAGCAAATAAGCAAAGATGCATGCTGTTACCAAGCTGCATGTTAATGTCCTCTGACACAAAGACGATGATCAGCCTTTTCACCCTCGTGAGCAGCAACCTGAATACAAAATCTCTTTTGTGTAGAGACTGGTCAACACTGGTTAGTGTTTTGTCCAGTTTTTTTTCCAAAAACTTCTCTAAACGGCAGCTTGTAGGGGCTGTCTCAGCTAGCATGTTTATTCTCTTAGTAGACTTAGCTTTCATGACATGGGTTCATGCTGTGACTCACTCTTCATTTCAACAAAGTTTAAAACACATTAAAAGACATAAAATGATCCAATTTTTATTTATTTTTTATTTTTATGCATTTTAACTGAAAATCACACAAATTGAAAAATCTTATTTATATCACTTAAATACATAATTGTGTAATATTTGTATAATATTAATATAATCAACTGATAATGGAAGAATAGAAAGAATTCTTCCTTTATGAGTATATCATAGCAAATAGTTGTCCTTGGCAGGAAAAATTTAAATCAATTATTAACTGCATGGCAAGGGTTTGCTTAAAAAAACAAACAATTAGTGCTATATATGGCTTAAGAAGAACAGCGGACCTTGATACTTGGCTGCTGAATAAATTCCCAATTTTATAAAGGCATCTGTATAAGGATGAATGTTATCCAGCTAAAGCTGAGTTGAAGTCGGGTGATGCAGTAATATAATGAGCCTGAACAGTAAAAGTAACAAAGGACTTTTATTGAGAAGCCCAGTTAGAGTATAGTGCAGTACAGTCTGTCTTTAATCAACTGTAAATATCCTTTATTTCACCGCCAGGATGAGAACCAGCAGGGTCTGTCAGATGAAGATATGCGGGCAGAAGTGGACACCTTCATGTTTGAGGGCCATGACACCACAGCCAGTGGCCTGTCTTTCATCCTCTACTGTCTGGCCTGCAACCCAGAACATCAGAAGATTTGCAGGAAGGAGATTATGGAGGCCTTGCATGACAAGGAAACCATGGAGTGGTAGGCTTATGAAAGGACAACATTGCAATAGGGAAACAAGTTGGTGCCATTCTGTGGTACCAAAATTTTATTAGGAGACATATAAACAAGATTTCTTATTAGTTGACTTCACTAACATTGCATGTCGGTCTCATTTTAAGGGAGGATCTCAGTAAAATCCCATACACTACAATGTGCATAAAAGAAGCTCTCCGCCTTTACCCCCCTGTACCAGGAATTGCCAGAAAAACCACCAAAACTGTAACCTTTTGTGATGGGAGAACAGTGCCTGCAGGTCAGTGGTTTTACTCTGTTGTTATTATCAAAGAGTAAACATTAAATGTCTTCACTTAATAATGCTTTTGGAAACATTTCATGCTACATGGTAAACACAAACTCTTAACCGACTTTGTTTGTCTTTACATACATAAATTACTTTTCTTTACAATTCAATAAAGGACCTATATTGACTTAATACTTATTACTTTATTATTCTACAAGGGTACGTTGGTATTATTTGATTGTATTGTCACATACAGTTTCTTTTCTATAAACTAGTATAAATCTCTTAAACGTGTGGTGTAATTGCTTTGTCAGTGCAGCGTTCTTCCAAATGGGAGTATGTAAATGTTGGCACCAGATTATTATTATATACATTATATGGGCAGAAAGTAAACAGCCGCCTACACATTACACTCACTGGAACTGCTCAGCCATGGGAACCCAAGAGCCATGAAGCTCCAGGCACACAGTTTTTGTGCTGATGTTGATTCCAGAGGAGGTTTAGAGCTCTGCAGTTACTGAGTCAGCAGAGCGTTGGAGATTTTTATGCACTCTGCAACCTCACTGTACAGAATGGTGCACATCAGACTAATGCTCGGTTGTGCTACAATAGTTATCCTTGGTCAGAAGGAGAGGCTGACATCCAGGGAGTAGATTGTAAGAGGTGGAGTTTATTTATACTCGGATTGATGGTACAAGGAGATATGGCATGGTATAGGATGTGGATGGGTGATATGGTGTGGTTTCTGCGATCAAGAACAGGAAATACAGTAGAACATGAATAAAGATTAAAGGGTAATAAAGCTGGCCACAAATTCCTCCACAACAAATCTGCTAAGGGAGTGCATCAACCTGATACTGCTTCATAAGAGCAATCACATTTATTAAAGTACTACCCAAAATGGGCCACAAGATGGCACTCCAACACAAGAGATGACATTTTTTAGCCCCAGCTCTTCTCATGCCTTCGGCCT